TCAGCGGAGCACGAGGATGCAGGCCCTAAATGAAGGGTGAGTGACATCTGGGTAACAGGCATTCAGTTGAGTTGGAGAGCGAGATGGAAATTTAATTCACCCCGATCACGGTGAGTGGTGACAGAGGCACACAGGGAGGGAGGACAGCTGCACAGAAGAGGTGACTTTGCGGAAGGACCTTGAAGTCGCATGGATATGGCTGGTTCCACATTGTTAAAAATAGGTGGGGGTGCTCAGAGCACTGCAGTGGGAACAGCATGAGCAAAGCTCAGGCTAAGGTGAAACCAGGACTGATTTCCTGAGCCCACCTTGACCAGTGGCGTGAGGAGGCAATTCCCAGGAATATGCTGGTACCTGGAAATGAGCCTTGGCAAGAACCCTATGTCTGTAGATGAACCACTCCACGGAGCTAGCTTAGGCACCACTAGGCAGAAGGGAAGAAAGCATGGATGATGCCATCTCTGTAAATATTTGCAGGTCTGAGTCAAAATGTCATATGTTCCTGTCAAACCTTGCAACTGGAGAGCCAGGGCTTCTAGATGTGTCTTTCTCTGCTCCTTAATTGGAGGGGTTCTGACCAGCTAGCCCCTTTCCTGGAAGAAAAGGCCTTGGAGAGGAGGGAAGGACCACGATAAACCAGTGAAAACCAGAGGTGTATGCAGTCCTGCCTGATAGACTGAATCCAAGCTGTCCTTTCTTCTGTACCTTGTCTACAGGAGGAATTCATGGGATCTTCGATTTCCATTATCCACACTACTCCATGATGCAGGTTCGTAGCAGCAATGCAACGGGAAAGCGCCAGATGAGTCAGACTTCGTCTGTGTACATTTCACTCCACACAGCAGTCCGCAGCATCCGTTTTATCAAAGTTCCTCCGTCATAATTCTCATCTGGGCTTCAACTGGCTTCCAACGGTCTTAATACAGTCGTATGAAATTCTATCCCAGTTATTCTAAATTTGCATTTATTTACTGCTTTAGAAAACAGTAAAGAAACAGACATATTTTTGGATTTAATACTATTTTCATTTTCTTTCAATGTTCAATATTCCTATTATTTCTTTGTAACAGGTTTGAAACTTTTTTCCTAAGGGAAATATACTCAGTTCACATAAGCTGAGCTACTTCAAAGGTACATGTATGAAATAACCTTAGAAAATATCCACTGAGTTATCTCTAACCATCACGAATTTTCACTTAACTATTATTTAGTGAACGCTTCGGAGCAGGTGGCTCTATTAGGGAGTAAACACACATAGCCCATTTTCCAGGAAATGACTAATCTACTTGGAGAAGTAAGACGAACTTACTTGAAAAGTGAAACCACACTGCTAAACAGGATGTAATTCCAGCCAATGTTCTCTTCTCTAAAGTCACATCTTCCTAAAACACAGTGGCATGTATGGAGTCTCTTCCATATGCCAGGCTTTAGGCTAGGAGCTTCTGGATAGCTTTGTGAATCCCCAAATAATTTTATAAAGAATGTTAATAGAGAAACTTGCCCTAAGAAGTCATTTCTTACCCTAGAGTCTTAGTTTTCCTAAATCAAGGAAACAGCTATAATTTTTTAAAATTCTTTATTAATTTATTTTTGTTACAGCTGTTTCTCCTCCCCCCCCCCTTGACACCCTCCTCACTATCCCCTCCCAACCCATCCTCTGCTTTGTTGTTTATGTCCATCGGTTATGCATACATGCATATAAGTTCTGTGGTTTATTCCCCGCGCCCCTTTCTGAGGATTGTCAGACTGTTCCCTACTTCTTTGACTCTGGGTCTATTTTGTTCATCAGTTTGTTTAGTTCATTATATTCCAAAAATAAGTGAGATCATGTGATATTTGTCTTTCTCTGCTTGGCTTGTTTCACTTAGCATAATACTCTCCAGGTCCCTCCATGTCATCTCAAAGGATAAGAGATCTTTCTTACAGCTGCATAGTACTCCACTGTGTATATGTACCACAGCTTTTTTTTTTTTTTTTTTTTATCCTCACCCGAGGACATTTTTCCATTTTTTACTCAGATAGAGCAGGAAGGAGAGAGAGAAACATAGATGTGAAAGGGACACATCAAGTGGCCACCACCCACACGACCCAACCAGGGCCGGGGACAAACTGCAGCCAAGGTACATGCCCTTAGCGGGAACCGAACCCGGGTCTCTGTGGACCGCAGGCTGACGCTCTAACCGCTGAGCCAAACCAGCCAGGGCTGTACCACAGCTTTTTTATCCATTCGTCTACTGATGGACGCTTGTGCTGTTTCCAGATCTTAGCTATTGTAAATAGTGCTGCTATGAACATGGGGGTACATATATCCTTTCTGATTGGTGTTTCAGGCTTCTTAGGATATATTCCTAGAAGTGGGATCACTGGGTCAAATGGCAGTTCAATTTTTAATTTTTTGCGGTAACAGCATAGTGTTTTCCATAGTGGCTGCACCAGTCTGCATTCCCACCAGCAGTGTACTAGGGTCCCCTTTTCTCCACACCCTCGCCAGCACTTGATTTGTTGATGGCGGCCATTCTGATAGGTGTGAAGCGATACCTCATTGTTGTTTTAATTTGCATCTCTATGATGATTAATGACATTAAGCATTTTTTCATATGTCTCTTGGCCATTTGTATGTCCTGTCCGGAGAGGTGTCTCTTTAGGTCCTCTGCCACAGCTATAATCTTTCAAAGTTCGGTTTTTATGAGGCACTTGAGTGTCAACACATTGAGATCACATTAGTGTTTATTATTAAAATAGGGGGTGCAAAATGTTTTATCAAAATGAGTTTTGACTATCAACCAATAGATTCATTTGGTTGAAGGGTTTATTCAATATCTTATCCTTCTAAAGAAAAATTTCTCTAAGGAGACTACTTTCAAGATCACTTTGACAAAATAAGCATTCAACAGAATATCATCAAAGTGCTACTGGACTACTCTGGCCTTGATTTGCCCAGACTGACCTCTGCTGAACAGTCTATTAACCTGCCAACATATTCATTATTTTCTTGAGATGCTATGGCTAGGGGAGAGCATTTTCTCCTAATTATATTTTAGTATTTAGTATTTAGATTTGTATAGTTCAATTTACTAACACTCATCAAACCCTCCCATTACCTTACAGCAAAATCTTGTATTGCACGCGGCTGCCAGAGGCAAACGACCACAGGCAGAGCAGGCTACTGATGAGGTTACATGAACTACCCACCCTGAGTGCTCCTTCTGATCTTCTCTACGCTCTTATGCAGCTCACGCTCTCAGGTGTGTGTCTTGGAAGTACATTAAAGTCCCTGCCGACTGGGCATGATTTCAGGGTTGTCGGGTGAAACCACAGATCCCTGCAGGTATCTCCTAGGTGCACATCACAAAGCTATAGTCCGCCACTTCGTGGAGGTCACTTATGCCCTTAACTAGCAGTTACAGATGGTGCAAACAAGCTGAACTTTAATATAAAGTCCTATGCTCCAATTCATATAAAACTGCAGCAAATAAACCAGAATATCCATGAAAATAAGTGACATTTTCCCATTTCTAATATTTTTTTAAAATACAGGCATATCTTGGAGATATTTCTGGTCTGGTTCCAGACCACCACAAGAAAGCAATTATCACAATAAAGCAAGTCACACAAGTTTTTTGGCTTCCCAGTGCATATAAAAGTTATGTTTACACTATACTGTAGTCTGTTAACTGTGCAACAGCACTGTTTCTAAAAAAAAAAAAATGTACATACCTCAATTTAAAAATACTTTTATTGCTAAAAATACTAACCATCACCTGAGCCTTCAGCAAGTTGTACTCTTTTTGCTGGTGGGAGGTCTTAAAACGCAATTATCTGCAAAGCACAATAAAACGAGGTATGCCTGTAATGTCTGTTTCTGATAATAAAAATTGCAAACTTATTTTTATTTCCAAATTTTGTGAAAGGAGGAAAAAATGAAGAATAAAGAAAGATCACCTATAATCCCATCCCTGCATCCCTGCACGGCTTAGGTATATTTTGTACCTATCCGTTTTCTCTGTGTACATGTGCAAGAGGACAGGTGTCGCTTGCCTTTTTCACATAATAATCCTGTGCTTATTTCTCCATTGGAAAATATTCTGTAACACAATTTTTATTTTATGATGTCAACAGATCACAATGCATGTAACCAATACCTTATTAGTAAACATTGAGGTTGTTCCTAAATAAAAGTATACTGAATGGCACTATATATATAACTATTTGACCAAATATTTTATTATTTTTTTAGGATACATTCTCTAGATAAGCTTACTGGGTCAAAGTTATGGGGTATGAACATTTTTAAAAATTCCAAAACAAGCATGTCTAGAACTACTCTGTAGAAATAGTGTACCAATTTCATCTTCCCCCACAGCATAGCAATGCCCATTTCACTTGACCCTCACCCACGCTGAGAATTACAATTTTATTTTATTTATTTATTTTTTCCTTTATTGATTTTTTTTTTTAGAGAGAGAGAAACATTGACATGAAAGGGACACATTGAGTGGCTGCCACCCGCATGACCAACCAGGGCCAGGGACAAACTGCAACAGAAGTACGTGCCCTTAGTGGGAACTGAACCGAGGTCTCTCTCTGGACCGCAGGCCGATGCTCTAACCGCTGAGCCAAACCGGCCTGGGTGAAAATTACAATTTTAAAAGAGCTATACTGCCCTGGCCAGTGTGGCTCAGTTGGTTGGAGCATCGCCCTGTACACCAAAATGTCGTGGGTTCAATGCCTGGTCAGGGTGCATATGGGAAGACGGGAGGCAAGGATCGATGTTTCTCTCTCACATCGATGTTTATGTTTCTTTCTCTCTCTCTCCCCCTCTCTCTAAAATCAATAAAAGCATATCCTGGGGTGAGGATTAAAAAAATAATTTTAAAAAACGCTTTGCCACAACAACAACAACAACAAAAAAAGTGCTTTGCCAAGTGGATAGGGATAAATAATGTTTTCCAGTCTAACAAGCATTTTTTATTCATAACAATCATACTTTTATTGACCATTTGTATTTTTTCTGTTGATTATATATTTATGTCCTTTACCCACTTTTCCACTAGTACCTTAATACATTAATATTTTTCTTATTTACAGGAGTTCTTTATATATTAAGGCTGTTGACTGTTGATCTTGATGCAGTACACATAAACAAAGATTGCTAATCCAAACATACCCTGAAATTATTAGTTTTGGTGTGGTGTGACTTTTCCTGTGGCTCAATAAATTCTTTCCAGAAAAAGGAAAACAAAACAAAACTCCAACTCAACAAGTATCAAATAAGCCCCATTAAATCCTGGGGAGACTAAGTACAAAGTGGTCAACAAATAAAATATGAAGAAGAAATAGCCTATGTACTCCAAGCTTTATTCTTCAAAAATGATTTTAAAAGATAAATGATTTTAAGAATGCATTTCTTAAAAGAATACTGTGCTAACTCAGTGGTTAGGCAGTAACAATCCTACTATTTAATAAAACCCTTTCTCTTTCATCTGTACATGGTTATTTCTGTGGTTGAATACTGTAACTTTTTCTGTTTTTAACCAACTACTTTATTATATAATGTCATTTAGAAGTGTTTCTTATTTTTCTTTGTACAACAACTTTTGCTGTAGGAAAGAAAATTCCATCTTACAGGAAAGAGAAAACTTCTGAAGACCACTTATGGCATCCTTATTTACAAATTAGAGCGGGTCAGCCAGTGAAAATCCTAGAAAAAGAAAAGACAACACACATTCAGTTGAAAGAAACAACTGTCTCTGCCCTGGCTGGTGTGACGCAGGACTAATACCACTCTACACATGTGGCTTGGACAGAGTGACTGGAGAGATTAGGTCCTCTTGGTATATTACAGCAGGAAGCAGCCAGCCTATACTGCAAATCAATGACTAATAGCAAATGGACACACAGTTGATGAAAATCAACAGCTTGGAAACTAATATGTTAGGAATTCTACTGGAATAAAGATAAATAATGTCAAAGATGCAGATGCAAGAAATAGAAGAATATTCCTCATAGAATTATAAAAGAAATAAAAACTTGTATTTCTCTAGGAATAACCCCCCAAATTCATAGAGAACTACTAACAAAATAGAACAATGAAAACAATAAAAAGTTACATGAGTGTCTTTGGGGCCATGTTTAAGTAAAATAAGGGTTAGTGGTACACAAGCCCTACAATAACATGATAGTCGATCTGATAACCAAGTTGGCTACACCTGTAAGTGAATAAGGGCGGTCAGCACATAGAGTGAATATGCAGGACAGAGAGATGATTCACATTTCATGCAGCTCATATGATTTCATCACATTACTTAGATGGTGCACAATTTAAAACTTATGAATTATTTCTGAAATTTTCCATTTAATATTGTCAGGTCACAGTTGAACATGGGTAACTGAAACCATGAAAGCAAAACTTTGGCTAACGGTAGGTAGACTACTGTACTAACTTTGGACTTTGTTTGTTCTTTCTCTAGTTCAAAGCTGTTTCTTTTTTCCTGAGGTAGGCATTTATTGCAGTGAAACTCCCTCTTAGAACTACTTTTTCTGCATACCATAAGTTTTGGTATGTTGTGTTTCCATTTTTACTTAAGGTATTTTTCAATTTCTCTTTTGATTTCTTCTTTGACCCATTAACTGTTCAGTAGAATGTTGTTTAGTTTCCACATATTTGTGATTTTTCCAGTTTTCTTCTTGTAATTGATTTGTAGTTTCATACCATTGTGATTGGAAAAGATGCTTGGTATGATTTCTTTTTCATTTTATTTTTTTATCCTCACCCGAGGACTTTTTGTTGTTTTTTTTTTTCATTTTTATTTTCAGATAGAGCAGGAGAGAGAGAGGGAGGAAGAGAGAGACACATCGACTGGTTGCCACCCACATGACCCCAACCGGGGCCGGGGACAAACTACAACCGAGGTACATGCCCTTAGCGGGAACCGAACCCAGGACTCTCTGGTCCACGGGCTGACGCTCTAACCGCTGAGCCAAACTGGCCAGGGTGCTTGGTATGATTTCAATCTTCTTAAATCTGTGAAACTTGTTTTGTAACCTAAGATATAATCTTTCCTGGAGAATGTCTCATGTGCACTTGGAAAGAATGTGTATTTTGTTGCTTTTGGATCAAACATTCTATATGTTAACTGTTAAGTCCATCTGGTCTAACATGTCATTTAAAGCCATGTTTCCTTACTGACTTTCTGTCTGGATGATCTATCCATTGACCTAAGTGGGGTATTAGAGTTCCCTACTATTATTGTATTGCTGTCTTTTTCTCCCTTTAGGTTAATATTTGCTTTATATATTTAGGTTCTCCTATGTTGGATGCATATTTACAAATGCTATATTCTATTGTTGGACTGACCCCTTTATCATTATGTAATGTCCTTCTTTGTCTTTATTATAGTATTTGTTTTAAAGTGTATTTTGTCTAATACAAGTATAGCTACCCCAGCTTTCTTTTGGTTTCCATTTGCTTGGAATATATTTTTTTATCTTTTCACTTTCATTCTGTATGTGTCCTTACATGTGACATGAGTCTCTTGTAGGCAGTATATAGAGCTGTCTTTTTTTTTTTTTAATCTGTTCATGTACTCTATGTCTTTTGATTAGATATTTAGTCTGTTTACATTAAAAGTCATTACTGATAGGAATGTACTATTTGCTGCTTTACTGATTGTTTTCTGACTGTTTTGTATTTCCAATATGTCCCTTTTGACAAAAATCTCTGATATCCATTTTTACAGAAAGAGAATTTTCAGTAGAATTAAAATTAGTTTATTTTCATTTCACTGCTGGTCCAAGTGTCCATTTGCCTATTTTCCCACTGTCTTGTTCAAAAAATAAAAAGATCTCAGGGCAGGCATATGTACAAAGAGCCGAGTACAAAGCTACTTGGAACAATGGCTAAGACGCGGTGTGCTGGCACGGAGGACAGGCACGTGAGAGCGGGCAAGTGGCCGCACCGGGATCAGAGTACAGAGTTCAGTATGGAGAGCAATGTGATCGGGGTAGAGAGGTTCACGCTGCACACTGCTTCAGAGCTCACCTGGAATGGACCTGCACAGATCACCGCAGTCTCACCTCCCGCGGTGCTTCCTACACCCTTCCCGCCAGCCACTCTGCCTTCGCCGGTCCCTCGAGCTTGCCGAGCTCCCCTGCCGCAGAGCCTCGACACACCTCTTTCCCCCTCTCTGACGAGTCCTTCCCTATCCATCCTTTGGATCTCAGTGTGAGCATCACGTCCTCTGAGAAGCCTTCCCTGTGCTCACCATATCCAGATTCCTCTGCTAGCGTTCACTCCGAACTGAGTTCCTTTCCTTCGGAGACACTGCCTTGCTCCGTCCTGGTGCAGTCAGTCATGAGGCGACTGGACTGTCCCTCTCCCCTACGGTACTGTTAGCTCCCTGACATGAGGCTGAGCCCGGCTTTGCTCACCACGCTATTCTTCGCACCCACCTAACACATATCTCGACAAATGTTCATTGAACAAATGATACGGCCAGACTCAGACTGGTTCAGAGAACGCTCTGAACAGGGTGTCCTAGAATCTCATGTACCTGGGCTTTCCGCGTGGCCTGCGGCTCAATCATGATGTTGAGAAGGGAGGGTTTGGTTGTGTCCGCCAAGCTTTGCCTCAGGGATTTCTGGAGTTCTTCTTGTGTTTGCACAAAATACCCTGTGCCTCCAAATGCAGTCATGACCTGCTCGTAATGTGAATTCGGCAGAAGACACACTGGAGGGGCCCTGAGAAAGGAGGTCGCAAGTAAACAGAAAAAAACATCTTATCATTCTGACACAGTCTGTAGAAAGTTTTAGGCTAAACTGAAAGGCAACTTTTATATCCAACACTTAAACTGAGATGCCAGTACACCAAACTGTCCATATATTTGGTATTGTTTATACAGCAAAGCCAAGTATAACTTTTTGATGATGGAAAAGTGTTATATCTGTGCTATCCAATATCATAGCCACTAGCAACCTGTAGCTGTGAGCACTAGACTGCTAAAATAAGAAACTAAATTTTTGTTAGTTTAGTTGTTTTTAAAATTTTTAAATTAAAGTTAACATACAATATTATATTAGTTTCAGGTACATAACATAGTGATTTGACATTTACATACTGTATGATGTGATTACCATGGTATGTCTATTAACCATCTATCATTGCAAAGCTATTACAATATTTCTGATTGTAGCCTCTGTGCTATATATCCCAGTGGCTATAAATAATAAATACATATAATATTAATTATAAAATAAATATTTTATAACTGGAAGTCTGTACCTCTTAGTCACCTTTTTTAACTATCCTCTTCTTCCCCTCCCCTCTGCAGTCAGTGTGTTCTTTGTATCTATGAATCTGTTTCTGTTTTGTTAGTTTTTTTAGATTCCACATATAAGTAAAATCACATATTTGCCTCTGACTTATTCTACATAGCATGATAGCCCCTAGGTCCATCAATGTTGTTGCAAATGGCAAGATTGTATTCCTTTTTATTGCTGAGTAACATTCCAGTGTGTGTGTGTGTGTATGACATCTTCTTTATCCATTCATCTATCAATGAACACCTAGGCTGCTTCCCTATCTTGGCTATTGTAAATAATGCTGCAATGAACATGAGGTGCATATATCTTTTTAAATTGTTGGTTTTTCTTATGATAAATACCCAGATATGAAATTGCTGGGTCATAAGGTAGTTCTATATTTCATTTTTTGGAGGAACCTCCATACTGTTTTCCATAGTGGCTGTACCAATTTAAAATCCCACCAACAATGCATGAGGGTTTCCTTTTCTCTGCATCAACACAATTTTTCTGTTGACTTTTTGATAACAGCCATTCTGACAGGTTTGACGTGATATCTCATTGTGGTTTTAATTTGCATTTCTCTAATGATTAGTGATGTTGAGCACCTTTTCATAAATCTGTTGGCCATCTGTATGACCTTTGGAGAATTGACTATTCAGGTCCTCTTCTTATTTTTTAATCGATTGTTTGTTTTATTTATATTGAACTGTATGTTTTCCTTACATATTTTGAATATTAAAACTTTGCAAATATTTTCTCCCATACAGTAGGCTGTCTTTCATTTTGCTGGTTTCCTTTGCTATGCAGAGGATGTTTAGTTTGATGCAGTCCCATTTGTTCCTTTTTGCTTTTGTTGCCCTTGCCCAGGGTGACATATCCAAAACGGTATTGCTAAGACCAATGTCAAAGAGTTTACTACCCATATTTTCTTCTAGGAGTTTTATAGTTTCAGGTCTTACATTTATATCCTTAATCCATTGAGTTTATTTTTGTATGTGGTGTAAAAAAGTGGTCCAATTTTCCCAACGTCATTCATTAAAGAGACTGTCATTTCCCCATTGTATATTCTTGCCTCCTTTGTTGTAGGCTAACTGATCATATTAGTGAGGGTTTATATCTGAGCTCTCTAGAACTAATTTTTTTTTTTTTTATCCTCACCTGAGGACATTTTTCCATTTTTTGTTCAGATAGAGTGGGAAGGAGAGAGAGAGAGAAACATCGACGTGAAAGGGACACATTGAGTGGCTGCCACCTGCACGACCCAACCAGGGCTGGGGACAAACTGCAACCAAGGTACATGTCCTTAGTGGGAACTGAACCCGGGTCTCTCTGGACCACAGGCCAACGCTCCACCCGCTGAGCCACACCGGCCAGGGCTAGAACTAAAATTTTAATTTAACTTAAACAGCCACATGTGGCTAGTGGCTACTACACTAAACAGCACAGGCTAACGATCAACTATTATGAATCCCCCAAAAAAAGGATAAAAGGAATGGTTACTGCAAAACAGCAAACAACAAAGCAACAAATGAAGTTAGTGAGGCATAAGCAAACATGCCCAGACCCTGCCCCACCGTCCCAGGCTGACCAACAAAGTCATATCTCTCTCACAGCCCACAGCCAGCTACTGTGCTGTCTTAAATTGGCTCTGCCATCAGATGATCAAGACTCCGCTTAAGTGGTAAAAGGAAGAAAGACCTCTGGATGTAAACAACCATATTTCCACATGGTATACTGGGAGCACTGTGCAATAAGCCCTTTCATTAACAAGGCTTAGACATCAAACTCATTAGTCTGAGTCTTCAGTGGCTCCCTGATCATAAACTGTTTATTGACGTGCCCAATCACTGATGTCTATGCAATGAGGAACCATGCAGACGGGGTCCCCGCCCTTTGGAGGGGCTGGCAACGTAAACAAGCAATACTCTCACCCTGGAAGCACATTCCAACACAGCAGACTTGTAAAAAAGATTAAAATAGATGAGAGAAAGTAAGTATACTTTGTTCTGGGCTACTTACACAGCCGTCGCATCTCCAAACTTTAGCATTTCCTTCCAAGAATCTTTATCAACACCTTGGTAAATTCCATTATTGTTCACCACCAAAAGTACAATTGGCAAGTTGTACCTAAAATTAACAGCAAAATATACAGAAAGTAGTTCTTCATTCTAAAGTAATTTCTTTTCTTCGAGCTGAATGTTTAACTTTATTTTTATCTTTTTAATTTTTTTTTCTTTATTGATTTTAGAGAGAGAGGAAGGGAGAGGGATAGAGAGATAGAAACATCTATGAGAGAACATCGATTGGTCACCTCCTGTATGCCCTCCACTGGGGATTTGGCCCACAACCTGGGCATGTGCCCTGACCAAGAATCGAACTGGCGACCTCTTGGTGCACGGGTCGATGCTCAACCACTGAGCCTCACCGGCCAGGCTTAATGTTTAACTTTAAAAGGGACAGTTTTCCATAAAATTTTTTTGAAATATCAGGGCAAAACTAAAAATTAAGCATTTGTTATCCTAATGAAAGAATATCAAACATTAATAGAAACATCATGCAGCAGCAGAAAGAATGCGAGACTAGGGGCTGACAGACCTGGTTCAACAGCTATGCAGCTAGGAACCTTGGCCAACTATGGACCTTGGGCGATCACTGAGCTTTTCTGAACCTTGGTTTTCACAGACCCAGGTGTTGATAAGAATGACACCTTCCATACTTGACACCTTGGAAGCACCACTTCCAGGTGGTGTCAGGAGTACTGTTTGAAAGGTATCTTTCTGTTTACTGAATCCCCCTAGATGGCCAGCATTTGCTAGATGCTGTGGGAAGTATCTTTCTGTTTACTGAATCCCCCTAGATGGCCAGCATTTGCTAGATGCTGTGGGAAGTATCTTTCTGTTTATTGAATTCCCCTAGATGGCCAGGATTTGCTAGATGCTGTGGGAAGTACACAGGTGACTAGCGTACATGCTCTCCTCTCAAACCACTTCACCCCTGATTGAAAAAACATTACATGGGGTAATAATTAGAGAAAAAGAGAGTATTTAACAATGTGCTAAACAGTATGATAAAGACAACAACAACAAAAAAAGGCTGATTAAACTTTATTGATGACTGACAAAAGAATATGGGCTTTATTTTCTACAGACATTGTTTCTGAGATCAGGTGTAAAAACAAACTATACTGCACACTGTTGTGTAACAGAACTATGGTAACTACAGGCTCAAGGGAATGGCTTTACTTCTCTCTCTAGAAGGTTGACTTCCCCAAAAATCATCTTTCAGGTGTATGTTACTTAGCTGCCAATACAGATACTCTAACAGGCACATACTTTCCCTCTGATCTGAAAAAATTTATACACCAACACTTTTAAAGTCCCAAAACATGATTTACAGAATTGTTTTCCTAGTTTAAATAACTGGGGGGAAATCATCTCCATACTTCTATAGAAGGATCTACAACTTAGGAGTTTCCCCATGAGTCCCCACAACTATAAAAATAATCTGAAGAGCTCACTTCACTGAGCTTTACCTGGATCATCTCATCTGTTCCTCACAACTGGCCTCGAAGGTAGGAATTGTTACTCTTCCTGTTCCTATTGTAGAGGAGACTGAAGCTTGGTTAAGTGACTAAACTCCAAGTCACTTTGCTCTGCAGTGGTCAGGCCAGTATTGAAATTCAGGCCACCTGACCCAGAAGCCATGCTCTTAAGCACCAAGCTCTGCTGTCTCCTTGCAGAAAACAAGATTTTCTCAGACAGAACTTTTTTTCAGTGACCTCAAAACCACTCCCCATCGCTTGCCGGATTTTGGCAGGCAGTAAGTAGAGAGGTCATGAGCATGCTGTCCTGGATGAGAAGACCCTGGGGTTATTTGTACAGGCACCTGCACAGTGCTGTGCACAGGGCACCTGACATATGATCGATGCTTGATCATCATTTGGTAGGCAAGCGGTCTGTTGTATAACTTTTCATATTTTGGAGAGAGAAATGCTCTGCCTCGGGATGCTGTTTACCTGCAGATGGTCTCCACTTCCATGCCAGAAAACCCAAATGCACTGTCTCCTTCCACACAGATGACCCGCTGCCCCGGGTTTCTATCTTTAGCCACTATGGCAGCTGCAATGGCAAATCCCAGACCGACGCCCATTGTTCCAAACGTACCAGCGTCAAGCCTGTTGGAGAATCAAGTTAAAATGAAAGCCTCTGGGGCACGTCACAGATGGCGGGGTCGGCATAAATCTAGACACACGCACATGGTTCATGGAAACAGAGAACAGTAAAAACATTCTCTTTAATATGAAGTTTTAGACTATGAGGAACTAATTTGTCAGAGATAAGCAGAATGAGAGGAAAAAGTCACCCGTGATTGCTCAAAAGACTGAATATATCCTTAGAACACTGACCGCATAAATTACCACATGATCTTGAGGACATACCAAGCGTGAAAACTCTACAACCTTGCTTAGGAATACTCTTACAAACTATGTCCTTATACACTGGACATGAATAATCCTCAAATGTTTTATTAATCTGCACTATTGAACTTTCAAACTGAACACATTCTGATTCACTACCATTTCTTTCTGGAAGCTTTACCTGTGCCGAGGAAGGCAGTTCTGAAGCACCGTGCGTCCGATATCCATAGTATTTGCTCCTTCACTTACCACAATACAATCTCTGGGCAGCTGTTCTTGAACGTGGTAGAACACTGTGTAATAATTCATAGGCAGGGAGTTTTGGGAAGCTAATTCCTAAAATATTAGAGGGAAATATAACCAAATTAGACTGAGATATAATGAAAATACACACTGTCAATAAGCTACTATCAAACTTATTTGCAAACAGGTTAACAATGGCAAGCTACAAGGTTCCCAAATGCCACCAGTGGCTACTCTGAGAAGCTTATTCATCTATGAACAGTCCCGGTGGACATGCTAAGAAAAATGGGTCTCCTAGTCCCAGTGTGGGACACAATCAAATACGCCAGGGAACCTCCCTCTTCCTGGACAGCCACAATGCACATTAACACATAAAAGACTGAGAAGTCCAATAGTATAGGTAACTGGAAACACTGGGTTAAACAAAACTAAACAGTCCTAGTTGAGCACTTTTAGGGAAATCCAGCCTTAGAAAAAGTGAAAATTTTATTCTGGACTATTTTTATCTGAAATATGACCCTAAACTCAAATAAAAATGAAGTCAGGATTTTAGAAAAATCTGGTTCTTCCTCACAAGCACTAGAGAGAAAAGGGGGTATGCTTCACCCACTATTCTAAGGAGTCTCTAGGCGGACAGAAAGCCATGCGGGGCTTCCGTGGCAATAGTCCCACTTGGTCCCAGCTCTGCCTCTTCACCTGTGCTACTTTGGTCCACTGGAGACTATACCCAAGATGGATGAGGGACCCTCCTACACTCCTGCACCAGAGAAGAGAGGCAACTTCCTTCCACCTTAACCTCAGGTGATTCTGGGGAAAAGAAGGAATTCATCATGATGCCATTAAGGAAAGAGAAGTGACACTGGCCCTTGACAGGACAAACAGTCACTGATTAAAATTCAAATGAAAGAATCATGTAGATTCAGTTTTGCTTGTTTTGCAAATGAGATGGCTGCTATATTAGGAAGCAATATGAGCATAACTGAAATTTCATATTTGCTCGTGTTTGACTCTATCAGTGAGATATCCTACATGAACACAGAAAACTAGACCAAGCTGAACCAAGATGCAGAGAAATACACAAAACAGTGAAAAAACTCAGGAACAACCTTTCTCACAAAGAGAAAGCACGACCTATATGCAAAGACTTGGAACAGAAACTCCAAACCCTGCCGAAGTGGCTCGTTTTAGTGCTAGTCATGGACAGCTCCATTTCCAAAGCCTTCGGCTATCAGGCAAAGCCACGAGTGCAGACAAGGAAGCCACAAAAGATTTTCCAGTAGAAACAAATTGAAATAGGAGGCTATAAATGTTCTCACCAAAAAAAGATAAATGTGAGGTGCGGATGTATTACTTAACTAGAGGGGGGAAATCCTTTCATAACGTGTATGTATATTAAATCACCATGATGTACCTTTAAATATCTTACAATTTTATATGTCAATCATACCTCAATAAAGCTGAAATTTTTTGTTAAAAAAAAAAGGACAAAAGACTGTACATTAGATTAAAATTTCAATTTTGATGAAACACCTATCTATTATAAATGCATGCCTCAAAGGACTTAATATCTTAAAGATAGAAAAACATACCCCAACATGCCCCAGGATTTAAGGCTCCAAAAGACCTTAACTGTAATTAGGTATTAAGGTAAAACTGAAGACAGCAGCCACACCTGCCCACAAAGGCTCTTACAACTTTCTGTCCGAGGTCAGCTTGGCCACCTTCCACACCGTAACTCACAAGCGGTGACCCTTCCAATGCCCACTCACACAGGAAACTCCAGGTCTTTTTCCAGGTAGTGCCACACTTACTGGGATGTGTATATACTGTGAAAGACTTTGCCACCACTTTATGAGGTTCCTATCTTAATGTTTTAGAAAGTTTTTGATTTTTTTTAGAGTTGTGCCCTTCGCCCCTCTTCCCCAGGGAGCCCGGAGTTGCACTACAGGTCCCGCCCAGCATGGTGCCCTCTGGGCGTGCACACACTGCGTGTGCCAGCCTGAGCCGGTGCCTGAAACCCCGAGTGCGGTGGGTCCAGCGTTACCTTGGATGCAGCTTCGTTGCTCTTCATTTTTTCTCTCAGATTTTTCCACCAGCTGCTTTCTGGAGGATACTGCCACTGTGTTTTGTCAAACTGCTCTAAAAGCTAAAAAAACCACAGACGTTTGCTTTCCTTCTTGAAAATAAGCGTAAATCATATTAATGGTATCATCTCTTCTTAAAGACAATGCTGCTTCCCTGTCCTGGTTTTCACATCACTCATACTCTGTTTTTCCTCTAGGCAGCAAACAACTGATAGAAGAATGCAGGAGACAGGAAGGCTTTTGTTGGGTCAGTGTAGATTTCTGCCAGATGTTAGGATTCCCACAGGCGTAGTGAAGTGTCACCTACCCCCACTCCACTGGCTGGGGCTACAAGCCCTCCGCGGATCTTTGGCTCTAGAAGGAAAACGACCCCCTCCACAGAACCCTTAGAGGAAGGCTGACAGCCCAAAACCTAGGGATTCCCATGATCCAGACCAAATGCTCCAGAGTGCTTTACTATGTGTTTGGGGATTGCATCCTGATATTGTACAATCATAACAATATCGATATGTATCCAAAAACCAAGTGATAAATGTGACTACACTTTATCTCCTGTCACAGGGAATGTATAAATTAGGTACAAATAATAAGAATCTGAACAAGTCACTGATTACAGTTTTTTAGTATCTTTTTTTTTTCTTTTATTGATGTTAGAAAGAGAGGAAGGGAGAGGGAGAGAAAGAGAAATATCGATGAGAGAGAATATTGATTGGCTGCCTCCTGCATGTCCCCCACTGGGGACTGGGCCCACAACCTGGGCATGTGCCCTGAAGGGAAATCGAACTGGCAGCCTCTTGGTGCATGGGTTGATGCTCAACCACTGAGCCACACTGGTTGGGTTGATTACAGTTTTGAAGAGTAAAAAAAAAAATCTCTTTATTGCCTAAAGAAGTGCTAAGTTAGATTTTCCAGTACATACAGACACTTCTTAACTAAGTTTAGTGCCTCTGGAAACTGTATTATAATTTTTCAGATAGCTAAATCCTACTTAATAAATGACTGTCTACTAAATGCCTTTAAATTTTCAATCACCTTCCAAAAATGCTAAACTTACTCACAAAATTGATCTATACACAAGAAAGTTGGATTTACCGAGTTCCAACGTTATATTCAAGGATAGCTTTCCATTAGGTTCTTCAAAAAATTAAAAATGTTAACTACATATGATCCAGAGATTCTACTTCTAGGTATACATCCGAAAAAGCCCCAAACACTAATTTGAAAGAATATATGCACCCCTAAGTTCACTGCAGCATTATTTACAATAGCCAAGATATGAAAGCAACCAAGTGCCTAAAAATAGACAAGTGGATAAAAAAAAGCTGTTGCACATATATACAATGGGATATTACTGGGCTAAAAAAAAAGGAACAAAATCTTGACTGCTGAGGGGTAGGTGGGTAGATAGAGGGCATGGGGGGATAAATGGTGATAAAAAAAAATGAACAAAATCTAACCATTTGCAATAGCATGGATGGACTTACAGGGTATTAGGCTAAGTGAAATAAGTCAGTCAGAGAAAGATATGTAGAATCTAAAGAACAATATAAACAAACAAACAAAACAGAAACAGACTCATAGATACAGAGAACAGAATGATGGTTGCCAGAGGGGAGGGTGTTGGGAGGCTGGGTGAAAAAGGTGAAGGAATTGAGAAGTACACATTGGTAGCTACAAAACAGTCGTGGGGATGTAAAAGTACAGCATAGGAAATATAGTCAATAATACTGCTAATTATGTATGGTGCCAGGTGGGTACCGAAAATATCAGGGGAACACACTGTAAAGTATGTGATTGTCTAACCACTATGCTGTAAACCTGAAAGTAATACAAAATATTATTGAATGCAAATGGTAATTAAGAAAAGAAAAAGAAATCTTCCATTATAAATTTTGTTTAAAATAGATATTATCAGACCTGTCATCAAGAAAAATCGAGATTTAAACATTTTAAAGGACTGACTATTCTCTAAAGACCAATCCACATAAATTAAAACCCAGGCAAAAGCTCTTACCTGTTTAGTGACAGCATTTATGTCTCCAAGCAAGGTCACAGCAGGTCTTACATTATTCCCCAGTTCTTCTGCACAGATATCAACCTAAAAAGAGACAAGACTGAAGAGTAGGCCATGTTTATTCTTAAATTCCTTAAGAAGTCAATTAAGGCTGAATAAATGAACTATGTATACAGGGGTGGGCTAAAGTAGGTGAGAACTCTGTGCCAAAGAGTGCTTGCGTGTAGCAAGTAGACTACAGGAATGTGTAAATAATGAAGACCAGTAATTTGAACACTTATGAGATTGTACCTCTGTGCACTGTGCCACTGTGACATTCTTTTGAATTAATAAAATCACTGTAATAATCATAACCTGCATGGTTTTCCTTATAAACTGTAAATCTACTTTTGCCCACCCCTGTGCATAACATGACAAAGAAGATTTTATGTTCAAAATGTTCCTTAATAAAAGTAAAAATCCATGAAACTATGAGTATCATAGCTATTATAGAAACCTCATCATCTTCCCTCAATTCTGCTCTGTAGAATGTTGGTATTGTTCCATTATTTCCACAGGAATACATTTGAGTTGATCAATTACAGTTCAGAATCTAATCAATAATAAAGTTCTACTTAATTACATTGGAATTTCTACTTAGAGCAGTTCTCAAATTTTAGCATATATCAGAATCACCTGGTAGGCTTGTTAAACTATAGACTGCAAGATTTCACCTTAGAGCTTCTGACCTCAATAGGTCTGGGATGGGGCCCCAAAATGGGCATTTCTAACAGGCTTCCCAGACAGGGCTGGTGCTGCTGGTCCAGGAAGCCCATTTTAGGAATCACTGTTTAATGACATAGGTAAAAGCAACGTTGTTGAAAGTATGGGTATCTGAAAGAGCAACGCAATCCCTAACACTGCTGAATATTTTGTTCTAATCTACCATCCTACTTCCATCTCTTTTGTCTACCTTTTTATCTACTTGAACTAGGAAGAAGAGGCCAATTATGTTTTTCAAACTATTTAAAACTTGATTTTGAAAGGTTTTCTGGTTAGAATTAAAGTGGTAATTGTTTCTAGGCTTGAAAAGGTAGCTTGCTTTGGTACCTGTAATTATGGTAGACAAGTTATAATATTCAACTTTTGTAAAAAGAGAAATAGTTCTTTATAAAAGCCAAAAACAAAGCGGAGCTAATAATGGCTGAGAGGAAGAACAATCAACTACAGATAGCTCTGATTTTAAATCTCTTGTCCCTGAGTACCTGGATAAACTTTACATCTGGCTGATATCTTGGAGGCACTCCAAAATGCAATATCCAATTTAATCTGGCACCAAATAACACGATTACATCAGCAAACTGCAAAGCCCTATTAAAAAGAAAAATCTGATATAACAAAAAGTATATCTATATTTCTTATTCGAATTATTGTAAAATTAATTTCTAAAGTATTTGGAAAGCTCTAAATAATTTGGAACTTACATTAGTCTTCAGAATCAGCTACTATGGTAAATTTGATCTTTCAATCTAAAATACTGTATGATGCCATTTTATTTAAATAGTAATAAAGAAGATGAAATAAGTAGAAAAATATTACCATAGGACTGTACCTATACTCTATTTCATTTATTACTTATTTATCATTAGAAAAATTAATACAAGTCCATTGTAGATAATTTAGAAAAAGCAGGAAAAGTATAAAGAAAAAACTAAAAGCATCCAATAATACTAAAAACTTATAAACTGTTATTAATATCCTGGCATTATTTTCATCTAATCTGTTTTTTCTATGGAAGTATACTTCTACATAATTGAGCTTATGTAATACTGTCTCATGCACTTTTGCTTATATAAATGTTTTCCTTTGTCATTAAGTTCTTAAATACAATTAAAGGCTACATGTTTTGCTGAACACATGTATTATATTTATTAAACCTTTCTCGATTGCTAGATATTTCTTTGTTATTAATAGTACTGGGTTGCACATCTTTATGGTTAAATCTTAATAGACACTTCATACTGATTCCTAGAAGCATATATTTTTAAGATGACTGATTCACATTCCTGACTTGCTTTAAAAAATATACCAAATATATTTCCAATAGTTTTATTTTATAAACCTTAATATTTTTGTCAATATAACTTCTAATTTTAAAATTATTTTTATTTTGAGATCTACACTGACATTAACATAGCACCCTTGCTTTCTTTCTGTTTACCTCATACATCTTTGCTTGTTTGTATTTTGTTTAGATGTGGTTCTTATAATGTGTGAAACAGTTATTATTAGTGATTCAATCTCAATGTCTCTGCCTTTTCCCAGGAGAATTTATAATCATAATTGCTGTGGGTTGTTTTATTTTTTTAACTTCTCGTTTTTCTGCATCTTTCCCTTTTTTCCTATCATTTGCCATAGAGGATCTGGGTTTTTTGTTTTGTTTTGTTTTTTGCCTTTGTCTTGAGTAGTACAGGCTATTTTTCACAGAAATTCAGTTATCATTTCAAGTATATACTCATACTGTACTGGTCCTGTGGACCCAATTTAACATACAGATAAAAACTACAAGTAGGCCCTGGCCGGTTTGGCTCAGTGGTTGGAGCGTCGGCCTGTGGTACAGAGAGACCCGGGTTCGGTTCCCGCTAAGGGCACGTATCTCTTTTTTTCTTTTTTTTTTAATCCTCATCCGAGGACATTTTTCCATTTTTTGTACAGACAGAGTGGGAGGGAGAGAGAGGAAGAGAGAGAGAGGGAAACATCGATGTGAAAGGGACACATCGAGGGGCTGCCACCCGCACGACCAACCAGGGCCGGGGACAAACTGCAACCGAGGTACATGCCCTTAGCGGGAACCGAACCCGGGCCCCTCCGGACCGCAGGCGGACGCTCTAACCGCTGAGCCAAACCGGCCAGGGCAGGGCACGTATCTCGATTGCAGTTTGTCCCCGTCCCTGGATGGGTTGTGTGTGTGGCAGCCACGCGATGTGTCCCTTTCACATCGATGTTTCTCTCTCTCTCTTCCTCTCTCTCCCTCCCGCCCTATCTGAACAAGAAATGGAAAAATGTCCTTGGGTGAGGATAAAAAAAAAACAAAAAAACAAACTACAAGTGGAAGATTTGCTCATAAATACCCTAAAACCCTTGAAATTGTTGATTCAATTAATTATAGCTCCTTATAATCTTTTTAACACAATTAATGTCATTAATATTATCTTCTTGCCCTGGCCAGGTAGCTCAGTTGGTTACGAGCGTCATCCTGATATAACCAAGGTTGCAGGTTCGATTCCTGGTCAGGGCACATACAAGAAACAACCAATGAGTGCATAAATAAGTAAAACAACAAATCCATGTTTATCTCTCTCTCTTCTCTGCCCCCTTCCTCCCTCTCTCTAAAATCAACTTTAAAAATTAGGAAAAAAAACAACAACACCATCATGTATTTTAAAATATATATTATCTTCCTAAAATTCATCTGGAACAAAGATAAATTTCTGTTTAACCTAAGTAAAACATAATGTAAGAATTAATTTCATTTTTGTACTATGTATACTTATATAAAAAAGATATTCTCTATTAAGATAGCATCAGATACGCAACAATGAAAGATTGCACCACAAACATTACATTTTAAAAAATCTTCAAAATTAATTTCAGTGCATGCATGACAACATGAAAAATACCAAATGCATAACGGTGGTAAATTGTGGAGAGGGAGGGAAGGAATGGGATCAGGTAGATTATGCAAGGGGACTATAGGTAAACCTGTAATTTTATGTTTCTTAAAAAAATAAAGCCTTAGCCCTGGCCAGTTTGGTTCAGCAGTTAGAGCATGGGCCCTTGGACTGAAGAGTCCAAAGTTTATTCCCTGTCAAGGGCATGTACCTGGGTTGCAAGTTCAATCTCTGGCCCCATTTGGGGTTGTGTGGGAGGTAACCAATTTATGTGTGTGTCTCTCTCACATCAATGTTTCTCTTTCTCTCTCTCTACCCCCTTCCATTCTATTTTAAAAAATCAATGAAAAAATATCCTTAGGTGAGGATTACCAAAAATAAATAAATAAAACTCTAAAGCAATGACATATTACTTAATATTATGTTTTATTTGATAAAATTGAGTGGTGGTTATATAAATGTTCATTAAATTATTCTCTCTTCTCATTTGTATATTGAGAATATTTCATAATAATTTTCAAGAAATTAAAAAATATATATATAGTTTAACAAAAAGTGTGTTTTAAAAATCTATAGAGAGGAGACGTCCAGTGCTAGACAAGACTGGGTCAGCCCACTACAGCCTCGCTCTCCCACTGACTACAACAGAAAATTCGTGAATAGAAAAAGCAACTTGCCCTGGCCGGTTTGGCTCAGCGGTTAGAGCGTCGGCCTGCAGTCCAGAGAGACCCGGGTTTGGTTCCCGCTAAGGGCACGTACCTCAGTTGCAGTTTGTCCCCAGCCTCGGTTGGGTCATGCAGGTGGCAACCACCTGATGTGTCCCTTTCACATCGAAGTTTCGCTCTCTCTCTCTCTCCCTCCCTCTCTATCTGAACAAAACATCGAAAAATGTCCTTGGGTGAGGCTAAAAAAAACAAAAAAGGAAAAGCAACTACTTGAGGATTCTGACACCTAAACAATAGTAGGTATATTGGGAGGGGAGTCAAACATGCCCACACAAGGGGTGAGTTTCCAAGGTCTCCCCTCCTCCGTATCTCCGGGCTTTGACCCAGGGCAGCCCCAGTTTCAGAACTGGAGGGCAGCAAAATCCTGTCCTGCGGCCAGAGGGTCAGGAAAACGGGCCTCAACAAGCTGGAGAACACAGGGAAAGCTCAGAATTCTCTTTTTCCCTTTCTCGCTCTCCCAGCCATGCTGAGGGCAGCCCTGTTGCACAGCAGCATTATGGTAGCTCCCAAGCAGCTACATTCCAAGAAAAACATAATTTTCAGGCAAGAAGAACTAAATGAATCCCGTCGTCTGAAGCATTTGGGGCAATCCCCTTTGTTTTTTATCGTTCTTTCTTTCTGCCACTTTGCCTCAGCCACGGCCAGGAAAAGGGACTCCTGGAAATCAGAAGGGGAGGGGGACGAATTTCCTAGAGAGAAAAAAAATCCCTAATTCTGGACGTGACCAGCACATGTCTGGGGCACTCCTGGGCTGTGCGTGTGCAGACAGACCACAGCAAAGGCTTTGTCACTGAAGTGACCCTGGAACTACTGCCCACAGGGGGCCAGAGCGTGCAGTCTGAACATAACCACACTAGCTGCTTGCTAAAAAAAATAACACAAAGATTTCAATATAACCTGCATTTCACAACATGATATTCAAAATTCCAGGATACAATCCAAAATTAATACACAAAGAACCAGGAAAATGAGACCAGTTCTCAAAAGGAAAGATAATGAATAGACGCTAATTCTATGATGACCCAGATGTTGGCATTGGTAAACAAAGACTTTCAAGCAACTATTATAACTATGTTCCATAAGGTAAACAAAAATGCTCTTGAAATACATGGGAAGATAAAAGTTTTCAGCAGAAATAAAAAATATAAAAGAGACCAAAGGACTAAAAAGAATCAAACAGCCCAGCCAGTGTAGCTCAGTGGATTGAGTGTTGTCCCATGGACTGAGAGGTCCTGGTTCCATTCCCGGTCAGGGCACATGCCCAGGTTGTGGGCCTGATCCCCAGTGGGGGGCATGCAGGAGGCGGCCAATCAATGTTTCTCTCTCACATCGATGTTTCTATCTCTCTCTCTAGAAAATCAATAAAAACATCTTTTAAAAAAGAAGAACTGAACAGATTCAGGGACCTATGAGACATTATCAACATTTCTAATACTTGTATTATTCTAAGAGAGGAAAAAGAGATTGGTGTAGAAAAAAATATTTGAAAAAATAATGACCAAAATCTTTCCAAATTTGGTGAAAGACACCAATGTACAGATTCTAGAAGATTAGAAAACACCAAACAGGATAAACTAGAAGAAAATCATATCCAGACACATCATAATCAAACTGCTGAAAACCAAAGAAAAAGAAAAATCTTGACAGCAGCCACGAAAAAACAACATACTACATATAGGGGAACAACAATTAAATGACTGTAAATTTCTCATCTGACACCATGAGCGTCAGGAGCCAGTGGACAACATCTTTGAAATGCTGAAAAGTCTAAAAAGAAACAGGTGTGCTTAAAATTATATGATTCTTTCAGAGCTTCTAGATTCATTAAAGTTACATAATAATTTAAATTAGCCTAAATCTGCCCAGCCATTGCATTTAAAAGCTGGAATGCTACGCACCTGGATCTGGCAGCACCTACACAATTTGGATGATTGTCAGGGATAACACCCTTTCCCATGGGGGTGGGCAAAAATGGCAATTTACACTGCTCCACCAATTTCCTGAGTCCCTCCTCTGCACGGGCATAAGCAGCACCTATAAGAAATGTAAATGTATTGGACAAGTCAGTTAAGCTCCAGACACTCACCCTTAAAACCGTTCATGTGAAATTGCTTTTAGAACTTCTCAAATATTCTCCTGCTTATACAGGACGTAAACTCAAACCAAATGACTATAGTTTCTCTCTTTGGTATTTAAAAATGTTTAAGAAAGCAATAGCTCTGCCCTGGCTGGTGTGGCTCAGTTGGATGGAATGTCATCCCATGCTCCGAAAAGTCGTGGCTCAATTCTCGGTCAGAACGCATATAGGAGGTGGCTGATTGATGCCCCCCCCCTTCTTCTCTCTCTAAAATCAATAGAAACATATCTTTGGGTAAGGATTAAGAAAAAAAGAAAGCAATAGTTCTAATTTCTCCTCCAATAATATTCTCAATTATTCTAAAGAATGTCTCCCTCAAAACAAAAGTTGTGTCTCACATCTCTTGCTGCTCTCAATTGCCCGTTCTCCTGAATTACTACTCACAATTCCCTGAACATACTATCTTCACTCATAGGCCCAGGTAGCCAAGAAAGAACTTTGCCCTCCCAGGGAAGGCTCTCTCTAACCTTACACATTGCTCCCCACCACCAGCTAACCTGGACTGCAATCTCCCAGTGTAGGCACAGAAATTCTAACAAGGGGCATCCGTTTCTAAAGCTCTGCAGATCTCTCCATAGGCCCGTGAGGGTAACAGGACTAACCCAAGTGAACTACATCTCATTTGTCTGTACAGTGTGTGTGCCCGCAGAATAACCACATGCCCCACTTCAGTGACACTCAACAATTCACTGTTTGAATATAGAGATGATTTCATTTCTAATGTCATCAAGGCCACTATATTTCTTTTCAGTTATTTAGTTTTATACTCTTTTTCGGGGCTAGTAAAATATTATTCCATATTCAGAACTTACAACCCTCTACTGAATCCCAGTAAATAGTAGTGTATGTCCAGATTCAATATAATGTTCCCCTCATAAAACTACCTTAGAAAAATCTTTTCTCATACATGTAGGATGAAAAGTAGTTCCTTTTTCTCATCCAGGAAGGTTCCTTGTATTCCCCTTCTTACTGCAATATATTTGCCCACCCAGTTCTCTCTTCCCAAACTGCCCTCATTCCCTTTGTCCACTCAGTGACCTTTCACACATTTTTTCAAGGTGCAGCCTCAGTGTCATCTCTTCTGGGCAGTCTGTCCACACTAACCAACTACATGAGCAAATTGCTGCTTCCCGTGAGAATCCACCTCACCTCATTATACACACCACTTAAGAGTCTACTGCATTTATCTGTTACCAGGTCTATCTCCCTGTAGGTAGGGGGACCATGACTCCTCGGTATACCTCAAAAACGTTTTCTATACTCCCTGCCTTATAATCACTCATTAAATATTGGTTAGAGGAAGAATGAAAACTAGCATCCACTAAACTCTTTCTACTTATTGTTTATTCAAGTATAACAATACTGCTGAGGTAGTTAAAAATCTCTTTTTCACAAGTGAGGTTTTTGAGACTCAAAGCAGTTGTTTGCCAAGCTCAGAGAGCTAGAACATCATACTTCCTTTTCCTGCTGTTGTCCACCATTTCCATTAAAACAATTCTTAGTTTCTATGTAGCTAGTTCCTTAGTCATGCACAACTGACTAACATGGTCATAAGAGATTCATAGCCTCCTCAGTTCTAGAGCAAAGAATGAATACCATAATAAATTGCCGAAAGGAGTATAAAATTGGAACAATACCTAGGAGAAACCAATTTGACAATATACACCAAAAGCCTTAAAATATGATTACCTTTTAACTTAGCTAATTTCTTTTTGGGAATCTGTATTATCTCCTAAATATGGGAAAAGCTTTAAGCACAAAAATGTTTGTCACAGCTATTCTAAACAAACGAACAAACAAACAGAAACTGGCAAAGATTTACATATCCGCCAGTAAAGTGTTAGTATATACATGGATAGACATTAAAAATTAAATTTAGGGGAAAAAAAATTAAGACCATGACAAAAATGCTGTTACAATGTTAAATGAATTAAGTAGACTATAAAACTGTCTATGACTCATAATCACAATATATAAAATATACACGCCAAAGCAATAGAAAAGTACTACCTGTTTAAAATGGTTGTTTTTGGATGAAGGGATTTCTTTCTAATTTTCTGGATTTTTCCAACATTTTTATAAATTTTCTTTTATAATGGAAAAAAACACATTGTACTCATAAGACCAAAGAAATGCAACAGGTGATAGTCCCTTAAAAGGACAAGAATGGGCATTCCAAAACAATTCAATGATGTAAACACTAGTCAATAATGCTTTACTGGATGAAGAGAACTCTTGTTCCCATTTCAAATATTAGAGTGGATGTTAATAATGAAGGCAACTTGGAAACAGAATCAGCATTCCTCCAAAAGCCTAGCAAGATTTAGAGTCCGTTCAACCTACCTTTCCCGATGATCAGAAGGGGACGCTTGGCATTCCTAATGACAGAGGCTGCCCTATGCACAGCAGAAGCTTCTGCCATACTAACAGGAGGTGGCATGCAACACTCCACATACCTGGAAATAAAGAGTTCTTTCAAATTTTTTATTGTGAAAATATCAAATATATACAAAGGTAGAAAAAAAACAGTACAATAAATTCCATATTCCCACCTTGTAGATGGAACAGTAGCATCATTTTACCACATTTGCTTCATAAACACACACAAACATGCATATACAATTTTTTTCCTGAACCATTTTAAAGTAAATTATAGGCATCAAGACTTAAAAACTTCCCCATGCAGTTCTAAAAGATACACTGTCTCCTATATAACCAAAATATACTTATCACATCTAATAAATTCACAGTTATTCACTAGTCATCTAATAGTCAATCAAATGAGTATAATTTCATTTTCAGGAAATGTGAATTAATGGCTTTACATTGCAGTAGTAGTTGTTGTAGTAACAGTAAAAACATACTAAAAGCTAATATTTAATACCTACTATGTGCCATTTATTCTCATGTAAATTTCAAAACAATGATGTTTGGTATTACCATTATCTTTATTTCACCACTGGGGGGAAAAAATTCAGAAAGTAAGTAACTTGCCCAGGGACCAGGGTAGGGGTCAGAGACTGGACAGAACTAGGTCATTCTGCCTCTAAAGTCCATGCTTTTAACTACTTCACTGTATTTCCACTCACTGAATAAGTCAATATTTTAGTACCACAATATGCATTAGTAAAAGAAATATTAAAACTGTATAGTAAAGTATTTCTGGACACCAAGTCCTCAGTGTTTTAATTTATTTATTTTAATTAGTGAACACCGTACTGTTCAAAACTTGAACATTATAATACAAAAAAAGGACATTCAGATCTTCACAGAATTTTTAAGGAAGGCTTACAGAGTTAACTTACCTGAGGCTCATCTCTCCCTCTCCAGTCCAATATTATTTTGAGTATCATGTTCAGGTATTACGCAGCATAGACATCCTTTTGGTCTGACTCTCCCAAATAGAAACCACTCTTTGGTATACTGAGTATACAGAAATGCCCACTTTCTCTCTGTAGTCACTAGAAGGCTACTTGGCCCACAATAGCAGGCATGCACTAAGTGGTACCCAGGGTGATGCATTAACCCAAGTATACATCCTTAACAGGGGTGACTAAGATATCAGTGAAAAATGTTTCTGTACTTACTGTTCACTCAGTGTTTATTTAAGGAATAAACATCTGGCGTTGGCATGTTTTTAAACCACTGAGACAGGCAGATTAAAATTTGTTATGTTGAGTTCCAATAATTTTCAACAGTCCCCTCACCTCTTGGTTTACACTATAAAGACTCTAAATAGTCATACTACATTAATGAAGATGCATTATCTATGGGTACTGAAAGAATGATTTCAAATGAGGAGTTCAGGAAGGTCCAAGTATTTGATTTAGTAATTAAACCCAAAATAATTACTAAATAATACAATGTTAATTAGAGAAGCTCTCTGGTTAGGATTCGGTTCAATTACTAAATCATCAAAAGTTAAGATTAACTTATAAATTGCTAAGTAAATTTTTTTAAAGGTAAACATTATAATAACACAATTAAGAAAAAATCTAGCCTAACTATTACTCACTTTATAGAATTCACATTCACCTGGAGAGTCACAAAATCTGCAGGTATGTCAACATAGCAAGCACCTGGACGGCCGTAAATACTGCTCCTTACCGCCTAAATTCATTGCAAATAGAAGAAAATGTTTAAAACATCTCAATCCTTATTATCATATTCCACTCAAAGCTTAAAACTATGAAATAAATAGTTTTAATTTTTCTGGACATCCTTAGTTGGAGAAGTGAACAATTTTAATTAAACGTGAAGTACCCTCTATTAATTCTATAAACAATTGACCCTTAAACAATGTTAATTAGGGTTGGGGCACCGATCCCCAATGCAATCAAAAAGTATAACTTTTCACCCCGGCCGGTTTGGCTCAGCAGTTAGAGCATTGGCCCGTGGACCGAAGAGTCGCGGGTTCGATTCCAGTCAAGGGCACGTATCTAGGTTGCAGTTTGTCCCTGGCCCTGGTCAGGGTAGAGCAGGAGGCAGCCAGCTGATGTGTCCCTCTCACATCGATGTCTCTCTCCCTCCCTCCCTCCCACTCTACCTGAAGATAAAGATAAATAGAAAAATACCTTGGGTAAGGATTAAAAAAAAGTATAACTTTTTTTTTTAATCCTCACCCGAGGACATTTTTGCATTAATCTTAAGATAAAGTGGGAGGGAGAAAGGGAGGAAGAGAGAGAGAGAAACATCAATGTGAGAGAGACACATCCAGTGGTTGCCACCTACATGACCCCAACCGGGGCCAGAGACAAACTGCAACCGAGGTACGTGCCCTTAGCAGGAACCAAACCCAGGACTCTCTGGTCCACGGGCTGATGCTCTAACTGCTGAGCCAAACTGGCCAGGGCAAAAAAGTATAACTTTTGACTCTCCCAAAACTTAACTACTAAATAGCCTACTTTTGATCTTATCAATAACATAAACAGTCAATTCACACACACACACACACATATATATATGTATTATATATTGTATTCCTCAATTCCACACACACATATATATATGTATTATATATTGTATTCCTCAATACATATATAATATATGTATTATATATTGTAAGCTAGAAAAGGTGTTATTAGGAAAATCATAAAGCAGAGAAAATACATTTTCAGTACTGTATGTACTTATTGAAAAAATCCACATACAAGTGGATTGGCACAGTTCAAACTCATATTGTTCAAGGTTCTACTGTATTTTAAAAGAGATCTTTGTTTAGCCCTGGCCGGTTTGGCTCAGCGGTTAGAGCGTTGGCCTGCGGTCCGAAGAGACCCGGGTTCGGTTCCCGCTTAGGGCACATACTTCGGTTGCAGTTTGTCCCCAGCCCTGGTTGGTCATGCGGGTGGCAGCCACTTGATGTGTCCCTTCACGTCGATGTTTCTCTCTCTCTCTCCCTTCCTCTCTCTCCCTCCCACTCTATCTGTACAAAAAAAATAAAAGAGATCTTTGTTTAAAAGGATAGAGATAAGAAAGTAAATACTCGCTTATAGCTTTAAAATTCACATTCTATTACATTTTAGTCTTAGAAATGATCTACTGGGTTCTGTCAGACAAGTCTTCATGACATGTGCTTCCTAATCCTAATGACTTGGCAGTTTTCAGAAACTGTGATGTTGTAACATGAGTCAAATGATTTCTATAACACATGGTTTTGAAAAAGTTCAAATGTAACTTCACATAAATTTAGTTGGTTAACTAAAATTATAATATGCTGTTTAATCAACTAAGTCATGTTTTCTTCTTGGTTTTTTAAATTATTTTGGGAGTTTTATGTTTGTTTGTTTTTAATTAACTCATTTTTTATTACAAATGTCACCCCCCCTTATTGCACTGTGTCCGTTGGTTATGCATATATGTACATAAGTTCTTTGGTTTGAGTAGACAGGTTTGTACGCATTGGTACTAATTTTCAAAAACAATCTTTTGCAAAAGCATTAAAGAAAGGGCACTTAGGGTTCCACTCTATCTTTCTTTTTACTTTTCCATAATTTAAAAAAAATTTTTTTAACTAAAGTATAGTAAGAACTTTTTTTTTCAAAAATAACTTATTTTATCTGTTTCTATAATTAAATATGTCAGTGAACATTAAAATGTATACATCTCTAGCCCTGGCTGGTATGGCTCAGTGGTTGGAGTTCGGCCTATGGACCAAAGAGTCGCGGGTTCAGTTCTGGTCAAGGGCACGTACCTCAGTTGTGGTTTGTCTCTTGCCCTCCCTCCCACTCTCTCTGAAGATAAATGAAAAAAATACCCTCAGGTGAGGATTATGTATACATCTCTTTAATAATATTATTTTTAACTATCTGAATATGTTCCAAATTGTTACTCATTCAACTGAGAATAAAAATGACACAGATATGAGCAACTGAGAAAAGCCAGTGACTTGGAGGGCTTGAATTAAATACCGTACCTTTTCGATGACAGATGGAATAGCTGCTATGCTGCTTGGCCGGACAGAGAACTTACTATATAACCTACAAGCTTCAACCTACATGCAAAAAGAAAAACGCTTAAGATTCAGTTCACAGACCACATTACTGTTCTGAGGAAAGACAAGATGTTAATTCATTACTTTCTATTGTGTTCTGAGGCAAGATGGAGACAATGCATTACCTGGACTGTTTCTTAAAAGCCTATGCAAAGCGAAATCAAATTTCTGCCTCAGATTCAGGAATCAAATCAACACAAGACACCATTTTCATTTCTCAAATTAGCAAAAATGAAAAACTCAGATAATACATAGCATTTACCACAACACAGGAAAACAGGCACTCACTGCTGGTGAGAGTATACATGGGAAGGGAAGTTGACAGTGTCTTGTAAAAATTAATATAAGTATATCCTTAGACCCATAAATTCCACAGCCAGGAATACACAACTTCATCTGTTACATCTAGTTACAATATTAATCTATTCTTACATTTTTGCCAGTTTTCCTGGTGTATATTTTGTTGGTATGCTGTTTGAGTCATGTAAATTCAGTAGTGTTAATTTTTCACTATTTAATGTACTTTGAAGCATTATATAGAAACTGTTTCTCTTGATACTTCTTGGTATAAAATCTATGGAACTAGTAATCTTAGTCCCACAAGCATGATACAATTAAGATTACTCCCCAACTGTCAGTCTGTTCATAGTCATGTCGTTTAATTTTAAATATTTCTACAAGAAACTGATATTTGGATCTTTCTCTTCAAACTTTTAATTTCATCTAATAAACTTCTATTATTTTCCTTTTCAGGAAAAAATATTTGTAATGGACATTATCCTCTGCTTCTTTTTATCTATAAAGTTTTTGTAGTAACTTTAAATTTTCTTTTACATACTTATCTACTCTACTTATTTTTCAAATACATATATCAGCATCTTTTAAATAACTATTGTTATTCTCTACTGTTAACTAGGTAAAACTTCAATTACCTTTCAAGAGTATAAAAATATAGTGTTTTTTTATATTAATATCTAGTTTAAATCATGTACAAAATTATATATTTATATTTTGAAGTTCTCACGATTCCAGATGTACTGACGCATTTTGCCTAATGGTTTTAACTTTGTGCTGTAAATGCTTAAATATATTCATATCTTAAGTGTTAATAATCATTCACTCTCACCTATTTGCCTTCTACAACTATTCTTAAAACTGTAGCATTCATTGACAAATTTTTTCAAGTTCTTAAAAATGTTCAAATACTTTCCTTTAGCCTTCCAAAATAAAAACAAACTTGTCGCCCTGGCCGGTTTGGCTCAGCGGTTAGAGCGTCGGCCTGCGGTCCTGAGAGACCCGGGTTCGGTTCCCGCTAAGGGCGCGTACCTCGGTTGCAGTTTGTCCCCGGCCCTGGTCGGTTGTGTGGGTGGCAGCCACTCGATGTGTTCCTTTCGCATCGATGTTTCTCTCTCTCTCTCTGTTCCTCTCTCTCCCTCCCACTCTACCTGAACAAAAAATGGAAAAATGTCCTCGGGTGAGGATAAAAAAAAAACAAAAACAAAAACAAACTTGTCCACAGTACCGGTAGTTATTTTGAATAGGATTTTTCCTCTCAACATTTTATTTCCCAAAGTCGGAGAGGCATAGTCCAAAACCACTTTTATTCTTTTGACTCTTTGAAGAACCTATTTTTAGAATTTAAAAGCCTGACAAACAGGTATATTTCTTAGAAGACTGCTTGTAAGCAGAGCCTAAGCTTTCATAATATCCACACTGAAATTGTCTTGTAGTTCAGGAATTTTACCTTTAAATTACTTCTGGCAACTCTCTTTCATTTTAATTCTTTATTTTGTAGACAGGACTTTTATTTCTTCTCCATAAATCTTTCATGCATTTATTTATTTAAAACTTATAGTTGACATACAATGTTCTTCTCCATAAATCTCACTAGTGTGTAATTATGCTACTGAACTCAAGAGGAAACTCTCAGAGCGAGTACCTGAGGGAACTCCTGGAAGGCCCCCATTGTCTCCTGACTTCTTTCAGAGGAACCGCCAATCACAATCAAGGGCCTGAAATATTCATTTTTTTTAAAAGAGAGAATTACAGATTAGATCAACTTGTAAAATACTCAGCAGAGTGGCTAATTAATAATAAACACTCAATGAATGTTAAAAAAGAGAATGAGAATTACATTTTCCCTTAAAAACTATAGATTTTAAAAGATTTAGGAAATAAGCTGATGTGAGAGAACCCTTCCTCAATTTCAGAATCATCTGTAGTAAATGTTTTTCATTTTCAGAAATTTATGGTGAATGTTTTTCCTCCATGCCACTCTCTCCTCCGCCCCTTTTGGATGCTGATGCTAAACTTCTAGGTGTGGTAATATAAAATTCATTTGTATGCCCTTCCTATTATTTTTGGGATTAAGAGAAGAAAATTTTTTTCACACTTTCCTAAGTGAGTCTACTTGAAAATGGCAGAATAAGGGAAATTCCTCAGCAATAAAATAGTTATCCTTCAAGAAGAAGAAAAAGAATGTGGCAAAGCTAAACTTATTTAAAAAAAAATATCAGACCCAAAAGTAAATAAGAAAGAGAAAGACCAGAAAGGAAGAAAGGGTAGAAAGAACTATAAGAAACACAGGGCAAGAAGGAAAACAATGCCCTTCCCACTAGGAAGATTGCACACTTTATGAAATGATGAAAAGATAATCCATTTAACATTAACTTATTGGTCAAGTACCATAGATGGGGTTAAGGACAAGGTCAAAGAGTAAGTACTAAGCAGCTTATAAAACAAACTCAATAAATAAAAGAATTTCAATTACCTTGCTAATTATGTAAGAAAAGATGAAGAATTAAATACATTCTTTTTGTTTTGTTTTACTTTTTGTTTTTTTTTATCCTCACCCGAGAACATTTTTGCATTTATCTTCAGATAGAGTGGAATGGAGGTGGGGGGCGGGGGAGAAAACATCGATGTGAGAGAGACATACCAAGTGGTTGCTACCCACACGATCTTAACCAGGGCCGGGGACAAACTGCAACTGAGGTACGTGCCATTAGTGGGAACCGAACCCAGGACTCTCTGGTCCGCAGGCCGACGCTCTAACAGCTGAACCAAACTGGCCATGGCTTAAATACATTCTTGAATGCTGATCTGGGATCTTTAAAAATTAATTCTTCACTTAAAGAAAATGATGCATACATTCACCTACATATATAGATATAGATATACAGGGGTGGGCAAAAGTAGGGGATTTTTGCCATTGTGACATTCTTTTGAGTTAATAAAGCTATTGTAATAATCATAACCCGCATGTCTTTTTCCATAAAAACAACTGTAAATCTACTTTTGTCCACCCCTATATATGGGTATTCCAAGATGTTAACAGTGTTTATCTCTAGGTAAAGGAATTAATGATAGTTTTAAATGTTCTTCCTCATATTTTTCTTAATTTATTTTTTACTAAGCAATTCTCTTAAGCATTTGATTCCAAGTCTTCCCACCCCAGATCAGCAGTTGCTCCACCACATAAAATCATGCACTGACATTTTTGAGAAAATGTTTTCAATAATAACAATCTAATTACCAACAGTTCATGTTTGCATTTGCCATACCACCCAAGGCGTGCACGAGACCCGGGCCAGAAACAACAAGGCATACTCCCGGCCTAAAAGTAAAACAATTCATCTTATTAAAAGTAGGTCAAATGCAATACTTGATTCATACCACTTAGGGTAAAACATGGTAACCTTCTTGGACTTAAAAGGAAGGGACATATAGATCTTTCTACAATTGGTAAAACAATTATTAAAATATTTTTGAATTAGAAAAAAAAAAAGAAAGATATCAGTCTTCCTGCAAGAAATAAGGTACCTATCATCTTCACATTGTATTTCACTAACCTCTTCATATTTTTCTCCTATTATATTTGGCTAAATCACACTGACTACATACAAAAGCAAAATTCTGACTACTGAGTACATTTTTTAATGAAAAAAAGAAGTGTTTTTAATTTTTTTTCTTAACAAGTAAATATAATGTCAATTGATTTCTGACAGAGATTCTGAAATGTAGTGTTCTGTCCAAATTTTTTAAATTGAACTTAAATGCTTTACCCTAAACAACTTTCTAAAGTTTAAAACCCCAAGGAAACGGTATAATCATATAATTCAGATTGTCACTTTACATTTATATTTTCTTAGGAAACTTTGATTAAAACAGCCTTTAAAAGAAATTGAAGTAAAACAAATACTTTAGTTTACCTGCCTGTCAGATATCCAATCGCAGAGGCAGCATAACAAGCCTACAAAGAAAAAACACTGGGACTTGAGCATACTGGGATCCTTGTGGTAAGTACACATATACTAATGTACTAAGTAAGAGACTAGAACTCAATTGTAAAGAAGAAATTGGAACACCTTCCATTTTAACAAATAATGTTCTGCCTATAAATTTCAAATAATGGTTTAGATACTGAACCTAATCTTTAGTACTTCAAGGAATTTGTCTTATGATCCAGTTTATTCATAATATCCTCTTACAATTGCTTAAATATCTTCAGGATCAACAGGAATGTGCTTTTTATTTCTAATATTGGTAATTTGTTTTTATCTCTTTTATTCTTTACTAGTCTTACTTGGGATTTATCAAATGTATCAACCTTTTCAAAGAACTAATTTTGACTTCATTGATTATTTTCTGTTGTTCATTTGTTTTCTATTTCACCTATTTTTACTCTTATATTTATTATTTTACTCCTTTAATTTTGCATTTAATTTAGTTTTCTTTCTAGCTTCTTAAAATTTAAACTTAGAGCATTGGTTTTTTCTTTTTTTTTTTTTTTTTTATCCTCACCCGAGGATATTTTTCCATTTTTTGTACAGATAGAGTGGGAGGGAGAGAGAGGAAGGGAGAGAGAGAGAGAAACATCGATGTGAAGGGACACATCGAGTGGCTGCCACCCGCACGACCAACCAGGGCCGGGGACAAACTGCAACCGAAGTACGTGCCCTTAGCGGGAACCGAACCCGGGTCTCTCCGGACCGCAGGCCGACGCTCTAACCGCTGAGCCAAACTGGCCAGGGCGAGCATTGGTTTTTTTAATCTTCTTTACCAATAGATGCATTTGAAACTATTTCCTCTAAGAATTGCTTTAGCTATCACAAGTTTGGTATCTCATTTTTTCATCATCATTCAATTCAAAATATTTTCTATTTTCCATTGTGATTTCTTCTTCAACACATTGGTCCATAGTGATGTCTCCTTTTTCATTTGTGGTATTAGTAAATTGTATTTTTTCTTTTATTCTTGATCAGTCTACCCTGAAGTTTATTGATTTTATTAATCTTTTCAAATATTTACAAAGTATCAAATGTGTTATTTAATTTTCAAATGTTTGGGGATTTTCTAGTTATCTTTCTGTTACTCAACTCTTGCTTATTTCCATATGGTCAGGTTACATATACCATATGTTTTTGTTTTTTATCCTCACCTGAGGACATTTTTCCATTTTTTGTTCAGACAGAGTGGGAGGGAGAGAGAGGAAGAGAAAGAGAAAGAGAAACATCGACGTGAAAGGGACACATCGAGTGGCTGCCACCCGCACAACCCAACCAGGGCCAGGGACAAACTGCAACTGAGGTACATGCCCTTAGCGGGAACCAAACCCGGGTCTCTCCGGACTGCAGGCTGACGCTCTAACCGCTGAGCCAAACTGGCCAGAGCTACCGTATGTTTTTAATCCTTTGAGATTTCCTTCATGGCCTGCAAATGGTTAGTTTTTACTTTTAAAGTGTACTTCAGTTCATAATGGGAAGAAAGGGGAGGTGCTAAATTAAATACAAGAAAGCCTGGAAAAATCCTTCTTCTTAGTCTGGGACATAATTTTTTCCAGTATTATTTCTTCTCTCTCTTTTAAAATAATAATAATAATAAACTGGGTATTTTTTAACCTCCATTCAACTATTTATTTATTTATTTATTTATTTATTTATTTATTTATTTATTTTAGAGAGAGAAAGGAAAGAAATTGAAATAAAACATGGAGGGAGAAAGAGAGAGAGAGAAACATTGATTTGATGTTCCACTTATTTATGCATTCATTGGATGTTTCTCTGACTGGGGATTGAACCCACACCACTGGCATATTAGGTGGACGTTCTAACCAACTGACCTACCTGGCCAGGGCCCTCCAATCAACTTTATATATGGTATACTGAACTTAAATAAATCCACGTTAAGGACATAAGTGTAAAAATTGACAAATAAACTATAATGAGCCCTGGCTGGGTGGCTCAGTTGGTTGGAGTGTCATCCCATACTCCAAAAGGTTGTGGGTTCAATTCCCAGTTAGGGCACATACCTAGGTTGCAGGTTCGATCCCCAACTGGGGCCCATACAGGAGGCAACCAAGAGATGTTTTTTCCTCTCCCTCCCTCTCTCTTTCTTCCTTCCTCTCTCTAAAAATCAATAAACATATTCTCGGGTGAGGATTTTAAAAAGTAATAAATAAAGAATCATAATCTTAACGGGCACAACTACCATATGCCCACCGAAAAAACTGCACTGTTTCTGCGCTGCTGTTCTCTATTGGCCCTTATCACTTCTCCCTTTTGTACATAAGGCCAAATTCACATAGAACAATAATAAGACAACACCTAAGACATGCAATGCATAAAATGAAATATCTGTTGCAATAAGAACACTTATTTGGACAATGAGGAGCACTGCCCACTTATTAAATAAAGCAGGGTAAAAAATCTTGTGCAGAATGCAAAATACAAAACAACATATAACAAAAATTATATTCCTCTGGTAATAGGTGTCAAAGTTGAAAAGGAACTGGTTTTATGATCATAAAAAAATCTATTTGTCAACTTGGCCAGTGTGGCTCAGTTGGATGAGCGTTGTCCCACGCACCAAGAGGTCACCGGTTCAATTCCTGGTCAGGGCACATGCCTGGGTTACAGGCTTGATCCTGGTGGGGGCCATGCAGGAGGCAGCCCAATCCTTGGTTCTCTCTCATCAATGTTTCTCTCTCTCTCCTTTTCTATCTCTCTCTCTCTAAAATCAATAAAAAGATATATTTTTAAAAAATATATCTATTTCTTTACCAAATTACCTCCACTCACAGGCAGAATAGCATTTGTAGTGCTTAAGAGAGAAGACTCTGGAATCAAACTGTTTTGACTAAAATCTCAGCTCCCCTAATTTCCACTGTGTAATTTTAGCATGTTACTCTGTACCCTGGCTTCCTCATCTATAAAATGAACATAATTTATAGCATTGCTGTGATAATGGAATCAGTTAATACATGCAAAATAATCAAAGTAGTGGCTGTACACAGTAAGCTCTCAATAACACTTACTTTCCTAACAGTCTGCCTACTTCCTGGAAAAGGGGTCCGTATGTGTCTTGATTAATCTAAGGGTCTAATGAAAGACAGGTCACAACCAACTACACCTTTCTCTTTAGTACAGATATGCACTTGGATGCCAAGACCTTTTCTTCTTCTTGAATGGCTTCTGAACCTGGTTTCACATTCTCTAGCTAAGTCTTCCTTTGACTGCTACAAAGAGTCAGGTTGACTGAGGGGCATATGCACTGGGAATGTCCTACAGGCATCTCAAACTCATTATGTCTAAATTTGAACTCATTACCTTTTCCCTCCAAATTGGCTCTTCGTTCTGTATTCCCCATCTGAGTCAATGGCACTATGATCCACCTACTCAGTTAAGCAAGCCCAAAATCTCTACAGCTGGTTTATAAGCTCCTCAAGGACAGGAACTGTCCTTCATCTCCATACCCAGTGGAGTACCCAAACAAAGCACCTGGGACCTAAGGAGGCCTGCAACTAAGCTTATGGGGACTGAAATAAATCTTCAAGCTGCCTTTCTGATCCATGCTCTATACTACCACAAAAATCATCTTTCTAAAGTACAAATCTAATTATGTTGCCCACCTATTTATAAAAATCTTTACAGTCTCAACAAGTGCCTATTGAAAAAATTCCACACTCCTTTTCCAGCTATAGATTCTCTACATCTTCCCCTCAGCCTACCTATCCGGTTTTACTGGCCACCGTGCCTTTAAGCTATCTTGATGGAACAGTATGAGCAAACATTGCCTCTACAGGTAATCTTCTCTGTACTACTCAAAGAGAACTGGTCACCCTCTATATGTTCTGTTCACTATACATGTATCTATTCTGAATTACTATACCAGATACATTTTTTTTTTTAGTATGTCCTGTCCTTACCTTCCCAGACTGTAATCAACTTGAAGATCAAGACTAAACTTCACTGCTTCTTTATATCTACCACAGGTTATGAAACACAGCCCTTGACATGTAGTACTCAATAAATATTTGCTGTATGAAGAAACCAGACATCCCACCACTGGAAAAACAGTAAACTATAAGTTCCCTTAATAGGTCATCAGCTTCATTTTCTCATATAGATGAAAGAACAGAATGTTGTTCCAACTAAGAAAAGAAGGTAGAAGCAACACAAACAAGATCTATTAGCTTTAAGATAAAATATACACACATACACATACACAATTCTCAAACCTTATAGATAAGGAATGTCACTTATTTAATAAAAATGTACTAAGTATCCACATCATGCAAAAGCCCTAACTAAGCCAGGCACTATGGGGACAAAACAAATGAACCACAATTCCTGCTCTCCAGGGACTCAAATTCAATGACAGAGGAAGAGCACCACTTAAGGATATCAAAGTACCTGTCTGGGCAAGAGGTGGCAAGAGCCTGAATTAGAGGGCAACAGTGGGAGTGGAAAGCAGGAATAGTTAGCTTTATTTTATTTTATTTTTTCTTTATTGATTTTAGAGAGAGAGGAAGGGAGAGGGAGAGAGACATAGAAATATCAATGAGAGAGAACACTGATTGGCTGCCTCCTACATGCCCCCACTGGGGATCAGGCCCACAACCTGGGCAAGTGTCCTGACCCGGAACCGAACCGGCGACCTCTTGGTGCATGGGTCAACGCTCAACCACTGAGCCACATCAGCTGGGCAGAAATAGTTCACTTTAGATGGACTGATAGTATATGACATTGCAGAAGTGGGTTCTTGATCTTGAAACCAGAATTTCTGAGAGAAGGGTGAGGCTGCGTTGACAGAGGAAGAACTGAGATTGGGTTGACAAAATGTCCTATCTTCATTTCTCACGCTTCCAAATAAGCCTCTAAGAAAAGTGGCCCCCTCGCCAGTTTGGCTCAGACCAAAGAGCTGTGGGTTCGATTTCGGTCAAGGACACCTACCTCGGTTGCAGTTCAGTCTCCAGCCCTGGTTGGGTCATGTGGGAGGCAACCAGTCGATGTCTCTCTCTCTTCACCCCCCCACCCCCCTTTCTACCTGAAGATAAATGAAAAAATATTCTCCGGTGAGCATAAAAAAATAAAAGAAAAGTGGCAGCGTGTTGTGGTGGAACAAGCACTGGACCGGGATTTAGGACACCTGTGTTCCAATCATGGCTGTACCATCTGTGATATATACAGGGCCACCTGCTATATAACATGAGAGCTGGCCTTCACCCATTCATACTGCAGGTATTCTGAGTACCCATCATGCACAGGAACTACCTAGGGGATACAGATGTGTCAAGAAGAAATAATATCCCTGTCCTCCTGGAGCTCACAGACTAACAGGAAGTCAGAGAAGACAAATAATACACAGAAATAAACACATAACAGGTAGTTATGAGTGAAGGACAGGGGACCCATATTCAGACCTGGAAACTGTCCCAATTCTGACGCTACACTTGGCAGAGCACAGTAGTGTATAATGTAAGAGCACGGACTCCAGACCCAGAGTACCTGGGTTCAAACCCTGACTCCACCATAACAGTTGTCGCCTCAGGCAAGTTACTGAACCTCTGTGTGTCTCACTTTTCTCATCTACTAGGATGAATAGTTCTAGCCTCATTAAGCTGTTGTGATTGGTACGTGGAAAGTATCAGAATAGTCGTAATGAGTGTCTGCAACGAATATCTGCCATTATTAATCAGTAAAAACATGCCCTGGGCTCCCAGCGTCCAAACTTACCGCTTGCTCATTCCTCATCCCGACGTATCTGATGCCCAGTTGCTGGGCAGCAATGGCGATTTCGGTCACTGGGATGCCTACGATGCCAAACATGTACTTCACATCCTGGGGAAATCAAGAGCAGGAGGCTACAAGCCCGGGCCCGGCCACACGGTTCCCCCGGGGGTGCTAAAAGGAAAATCCCACGCGAACCTCCCTCCTTCCCACTCCCACCGTGGTCCTGGTCTCCCACACAGCTCGGCCCCCGCCGGCTGCCGTAGGAGCCGCCTCCTCTGGGCAAGTCAATCGTACTTGCGCTTTCAGGGCCTGGGCGATGACTGTCGCACCAGACACCTGCTCCTCGCTACTGTCGCCGGGCTCTGCTAAGTTCTTTCCCGACATCTCCCACCCAAAAGTTCAACACGCTCTCACAGTCGGCAGCAAAGTGACACGGAGTGGCCCTGCACAAGGACCCAGGAGACACCTCCTCTGATGGACAGGAGGGCAACCAACAGCTTTAAACAACGGGAAGGAGAGGCGGGGCTAAAATTAGTCCACGCTCTGGGGGTGAGACTATACCTACACGCTGTCTCCAATCAGAACCCTGTTGGCCTTTTGCCCGCGCCTCCATTCGCGGAGTCGGTGTCAGGAGGCAGGGCCAGCAGGGCTGCGGCCTATGCGCAGCGGCCTATGCGCAGCAAGTAAGCCAGCGAACCTCGGGTCCTCTCACAGAGCTCTGCTATCCCAAGCCATTCCGCGCCCGCGTTCCAGGCCGACGAGGACTGGGCGAAAGGTGAGGGGGCGTGGCGCGGCGCGCGCTCTGGGCCCCGCCCCCACTCCCGCTCCGGGGAGCGGGGTCGCTCTGGGAGCTGCGGGCAGGCGCCGCACAGGCTGCTGGGACAAGGACAGGTTGAATGGCTCCTAGTGTTAGGTAAAGTTGTTGGGTCTTGTCCTGCTTTCTCGTCCCCTGTGTTGTAGGTTCCTATTTTCACGCGTTTGGATATATGCTTTCATAACTTTGTGGCTTTGCAATCTGTGAAGCATAGTAACACGCGATAATTAGATCCCTAAAAAGATGTATATCCTTTATCCTAGTAGTATAGATGAAGACACAGTGTTGCCAAATAGGATATAAAGTAACTTGCCCAGAGCCACTGGACCCAGACCATGTTTGAGACGCCCAGTCTTCTACTCTATTCCCATAGGGCCATAGGCCACAAGAGATAAGGGCCTCTTCGATCCAGGTACTTTTTTAAAAAATCCTTACCCAAGGATATTTTTCCATTTGTCTTCAGATAGAGTGGGAGGGAGGGGGGGAGAGAGAGAGAGACAGACAGACAGACAGACAGACAGACATGATGTGTCTCATGGACTGGTTGCCTTCTGCATGACACCAACCAGGGCCCAGACCGAATCGCAATCAAGTAGTGTCCCTTGACTGGCATTGAACCTATGACTCTTTGGTCCATGGGCCGGTACTCTTAACTGCTGAGCCAAAACGGCCAGGGCTTGAATCCAGCTACTTTTGCCCACTGTTTTCTCTAACCCTTGCCAGTAACCCACATTGCTCTCCACTCTTGTCGTTCTAAAGTCAGTAAATGTGGGTTTTCATAATTCTTAGACTCATTTCCTATCTACAACCAGCTCCTGCATCTGATAACCTTTTAAAACACATTTTTTGAGTGAAAATGATGCTTGCAATGTGCGATTTCTTAGGCTGTGGACTCAGGGTTATTAGACCATCTCTTCTGCTCTCTAAAAATCAGTAAAATAGTAATAATAGTAATTACATTTTAAACTATTTACCTGTTAAGTAAAATTGGCATTTCAGAAAGATGCAAAACTTTCTGTGACTTTGAATAGTCCTGTCCCTGTTTGAGAAGTGTTAAAATAAAAAACAAACGGAGACCAATCTTGAACATTCCCCGAGTAGACAAAACCAGTTTAGTCATGCAAACAAAGCTTAAGCTTATTTTTCTAGACTAACTTGAACACAGTCATTTCTTGCTTATGCCCCTGGAAATCATAAGCAAAATTTGATGTTTCCTAAAGTTGATAGGAGGTAACCACTGAAAATTTTAATAGTATAAGCAGTTACTGTGAAGAATTAATAGTCACTGCTTTCTCACTATATAATCTGCTTTATATCATACCCCTGTGCTTTGGTTTGAGTGCTCCTGGTTTATAAACTCTTTTTTGGTGTGTTCACAATAAACATTTATTAATTACTACTTAGGTGAGTCATTGGTTTTACTTCTGTTATTTCTGAACTTTTGACAAATGTATGGACCCCATCCCCTCTATTATGTAGTATTTATGTCAGTTTCTGTGTGACAGTCTCTATCCCATTGCATCAAAATCACTTAAAAACTTTTTAAAAATACAATTCCTTGAGTCCTACCCCACATCTTTGAATCAGCGTCTTAGGACAAGTTAGGCACCTGCATTTTTTTTTTTTTTTATCCTCACCCAAGGACATTTTTCCATTTTTTGCACAGATAGAGTGGGAGGGAGAGAGAGGAAGAGAGAGAGAGAGAGAAACATCGATGTGAAAGGGACACATCGAGTGGCTGCCACCCGCACGACCAACCAGGGCTGGGGACAAACTGCAACCGAGGTACATGCCCTTAGCGGGAACCGAACCCGGGTCTCTCCGGACCGCAGGCCGATGCTCTAACCGCTGAGCCAAACCGGCCAGGGCAGCACCTGCATTTTTTTAAAAGCTGCTACCTTATTTTGATTTGCAGCCCAACTTGAGAACACTAGCTCTGTACTCATGCTGGAGGCATGAGATAATAACTATATGTATGATTGCCTGCCCTGGCCAGTGAGGTTCAGTTGGTTGGAGCATTGTCCAGTGCACTAAAAGGTCTCAGGTTTGATTCCTAGTACGAGCACATACCCAGGTGGGTTCAATCCCCAATCAAGGTACGTATGGAAGGCAACTGGTCTATGTTTCTCTCTCACATCAATGTTTCTACCCCCCCTTCCTCTTTCTAAAAAAAAGGAAAAAATAAATAAATGTTTGATTGCCTGTTACCAAGGTAATGCTATTGATAAATTTGAATTGTTGATTAATTCAAGACTGGTTTGATATTAACAGCACAGACTGTATAGATGGTAATCAGTTCTTGGGACCTTGTGTCCACTTCTTTGTCAGAAGAATTATTGACAGAATTACTCAGTATAAATTGTGGTGAAATCTGAACTATGAGTTGGACTAAATCCCCTGATTTCAGATGAACTGGTTTTGCAAAAGGAATCTGCTCTTTAGCAAAGGGAAAAGTCAGTGAGACTATTTAAACTTGCTTTCACCTTTACACCTTTCAGTTCAGGGCACAAAATTCCACTGTTCACTTGGATCTGATGATTCAGCAGAAATGAGGAGAGTCCCCACCTACAGGACTAGCAGGCATTGGGAACAACTCCTTTCAATCCAGTGGTAATTACATTTCAGAATCCTTTTGTAAGGACTAACCACATTCTTTATCACTTTTGCTGCTAATTTTATTTTGTATTTTATTTGTTTGGCTTTGTTTATTAATTTCTTTACAGATGGAAAAAGGTCAAAGGAGAAATAGGTTTAATTTTAAAAAAAAAAAAAAAAGGTTAACATAATGCTAACCTGCTTTCCAAAGAGCAGAGCCAGTCATCAAAGAGTTTTCCTGCATTTATTCTATTTGTGGGTTCTGGAACTGAGATTATGAAAGAGTTATTTGGTGACTTTGTCCAATCTGGATGAAGGAATATCCAAGCAACCAGTAAAAGTTGAAAATATTGTGCCTGTGTTAACAGTGGAGTTAGACCTCTGTCCTTGAGTTCAGCTAAGAAAGAATTCAGAGCCAAGAACTCTAATGCAAATTTATTTAGAAAGTCAGAGAGATAGAAGTGAGCCAACTGGGCTACATGGACTTGGGAAACAAGTTACGGAGACAAAAGAAGGACCTTTGGAATGTAGAAGAAAGAAAGCAAAGGTAGCCCTGGCCAGTTTGGCTCAGCGGTTGGAGCGTCGGCCTGCGGTACAGAGAAAGCAAAGGTACACGCCTAAGGGAAGAAAGATGGGGGACGGAAGGAGTGGGTGGATGTCAGGGGCTTGCTGTAGAAGGAGAAGATAGTGCACACCCGGTCCCTTGCCTTGCGGGTTTTTGTTTTGTTTTGTTTTGTTTTTAATTTTATTTTTGTTACAGATGTTTCTCCTTTTTTACCCCATTGACACCCTCCTCCCCATCCCCCCCGCCCCGTCCCCGGCTTTGTTGTCCATGTCCATTGGTTATGCATACATGCATATAAGTTCTGTGGTTTATCTCTTCCCTCCCCCCACCATCCGCTCTTCTGAGGGTTGTCAGTCTGTACCCTACTTCCATGGTTCTGGGTCTACCCTATTCCTCCGACTGTTATGTTCATTATATTCCATAAATAAGTGAGATCATGTGGTATTTGTCTTTTTCTGCTTGGCTTGTTTCACTTAGGATAATACTTTCCAAGTCCCTCCTTGTTGTCTCAAAGGATGAGAGATCTTTCTTTCTTACAGCTGCATAGTACTCCATTGTGTATATGTACCACTGCTTTTTTATCCATGCGTCTACTGATGGACACTTGGGCTGTTTCCAGATCTTAGCTATTGTAAATAGTGTTGCTATGAACATGGGGGTACATATATTCTTTCTGATTGGTGTTTCGGGCTTCTTAGGGTACATTCCTAGAAGTGGGATCACTGGGTCAAATGGAAGTTCAATTTTTAATTTTTTGAGGAAACACCATATTGTTCTCCATAGTGGCTGCACCAGTCTGCATTCCCACCAGCAGTGGACTAGAGTCCCCTTTTCTCCACACCCTCGCCAACACTTGTTGTTTGATGACTTGTTGATGGCGGCCATTCTGACAGGTGTGAGGTGATACCTCATTGTTGTTTTAATTTGCATCTCTCTGACGATGAGTGATGTTAAGCATTTCTTCATATGTCTCTTGGTCATTTGTATGTCCTGTTTGGAGAGGTGTCTCTTTAGCTCCTCTGCCCATTTTTTAATTGGGTTCTTTGTCTTTCTTTTGTTGAGTTGTATGAGTACTCTATATATTTTGGAAATTAACCCCTTATCTGATGTATCATTCAATGATGTTCTCCCATACAGTGGGTTGCCTTTCCATTTTGATGGTTGTTTCTTTTGCTGTTTAGAAGCTTTTTAGTTTGATGTAGTCCCATGTGTTCATTTTTTCCTTCGTTTCTGTTGCCTTAGGTGATGTATCAGTGAATTCTGCTGCGTATGATGTCTGAAATTTGTTGCCTACATTTTCTTCTAGAATTTTTATGGATTCACGGGTCACATTTAAGTCTTTTATCCATTTTGAGTTTATTCTTGTGTATGGTGTACGTTGATGGTCTAGTTTTATTTTTTTGCATGTAGCTGTCCAATTTTCCCAACACCATTTATTTATTTATTTATTTATTTATTTATTTATTTATTTTTAATCCTCAACCGAGGACATTTTTTTTCCATTTTTTGTACAGATAGAGTGGGAGGGAGAGAGAGGAAGGGAGAGAGCGCGAGAAACATCGACGCCAACACCATTTATTAAAGAGGTTGTCTTTATTCCACGGTATGCTCTTGCCTCCTTTGTCAAATATTAATTGAGCGTATTGCCTTGGGTCCATTTCTGGGTTCTCTGTTCTGTTCCACTGGTCTATATGCCTGTTCTTGTGCCAGTACCAGGCTGTTTTGATTACAGTGGCTTTGTAGTATAACCTGATATCTGGTATTGTGATCCCACCTACTTTGTTCTTTTTCAAGATTGCTG